GTGAAGCTAAAAGTAAAGAGGGAAAAGTCTGTAAATGTATAATGAGCCTTTATACATGGTTGATGTTCTATTCTCAGGAGAAAGAGGAAGAGGAAGCGGGAGAGGTGGGGGGGCCGAAGAGTGTAATCTTAGGCCTGGAGATAACACTCACTTTCCTTATTTTGTTGGTAATTTTGAACAGGAAGCAAGATTATGGAACTCTCTTAAAATGCTCGAAAAGTCACAATGTTTTGACTCTTAAGAGGTATCTCAAGTCCTGGAAGCTGGGATGAATTGGTGGAGCTGCAACGAGCCTCGGGCCGGGATGGAGGGGTTGGAGGGGTCGACAGGGATGTGCTTGGCCTGTCGGATGACGTGCAGAGGAGAGCTCGCTGCCTGAGGAATAAACAATCCACATGCCAGGGGAGCTCAAGCTTGGGCCTCTTTCCGGAACTGGACTTTTTCAAACATCGAACTCCGAGACTTAAATATCTCGACCGACTTATACACACTTACCGAGAACCCAATTAACGGCCCCAATTGAGGATAAATCCCGAATCACGTCACAATGCCGATATCAAGGGCAGCCGGCCTACGGACTACCGGCGTACTTCGCCTTTCCCAACGATGCGCCTCTCCCCTTGCCCTCCCCCTCCGCTCGCAACCGAATCAATACCGGCACCAGACTCTGCCAGTGCCCGCCAAACTTTCGATGAGTTACCAATTCCGTTCGAAGTCAACAACGCTGCCGCAAGATGGCCAGGAAGACTCGCCTAAACAAACCGGACAAACACCAAAGCCACACCCTTCTCTCAAGGGCGTGTTCTGGCAAAGCATCAAGTCCGACACGGCCCGGGCTTGGTACGTCATCAGGAATACCAGCTTCAGCGAGGTTATGCGGCGGAACCCAGGTGAAGCCCTCGGCGCTATCGTGGCGTAGGCATCCCAGCAAGCGCGAAGCAACAGTGATGGTCGGGGCTGACAACCGCAACAGAATCGTAGGCGCCGTCGGTGTCCTCATCTACTGCGTATACGCATATTACACCTACTTCTATAGCCGCCAGTTCACGCGCTACCCCGAACCCGTGGCACAAGCTCTCCGAAAGGCGCTCTATTTTAGCAACCACGACCCCAACCCGCAGCGCGCCCTCCAATACTACAAACAGGCCCTCGAGCTCTGCGACCAGGAGGGGCTAGACCACTTCTCAGACGACGTCATGGGCATCAAGATTCCAGGTGGGCTGCATGGCTCGAGAAGATCGAGAGCTACCAGAACGCCATCAGTGTGTTAGAGAACTTGTTGGGTGATTGCAAGCGTTGGGTTGAGGTCATGGAGAAGAGTGCCGCAGAGGGGACGCTGCCGAAGCTGGAGCCGGCACCGGCTTCTGAAGAGGGGGAGTCTAGTGTTCCCGAGCAGCCACGTGAAGGCCTCGAGGCCAAGCGGACGAGGTTGTTGGCTAAGGCGTCAGCGTCAGCGTCAAGCTAGCCAATCTCTATTCAGATGAGCACGTTCTGGAGCGGGAGTCGGCACACGA